TCCAATGGCAAGTATTCAGTTATAATAAATACTCAGTGGGATTTTTTTGTATAAATAAATATGTACATGGATTCTTAGAGGAACCTAGAATGGCAGGGGTGCCATACGTTTGGAAAAAGTTTTACAGGAGGTGAATGTTAAGCATTTTGTACCAAGATAAGGACAAGATACGAACTTTAGAGAAAGCATGGGTAGGTTATTGCCTAAGAGTCAAAAGCAGATTTTCTAACGGGCGTATGATTATTGGTTTCTGTCTCGTTGATCATAATAGAATACTGAGAAATAATTGGAAGATTTGGGTTCTCATTTTGATACTACCACTTATGTGAATACATCTTTTGACAAATTGCCCAGTAGTTCTTCACAACCCAACTTTTTTTCTGTGCACAAACTGAAGGAATCCTATAATCTATAAAGTGCTACACAAACATATGGTATTTGGAGGCTGCATTGAAAAACTATTAACACTTGGGTTTTAGGCAACCTCATTAATTAAGTAAATCATTTAAACTCTAACCTAACCTTTAAAATTAGGTTTGAACTAGATTTCCTGTATTTCATTTCCTTCATCTAATGTTGTTTCATTCACTGATTCAGTAATCTCTGATCATTGTCATGCTCTCTACTAGATGCACTCTCACAAATGATTAAATTTCTACATTTTTAAATTAACTTACGGCATAATAATTTGATTTCAAGAATAAATTTACATGAATAATGTTTTTGCCTATTACTTCCATGAAATAATGGATAGCTAAGTTTGAATCAACACTTAAGTCAAAACATTTAGTCAGTTAAGGCAATCAGTCAACATGAAGCCATACACATTTATATTTTCAATTTAATTTGGCTAATTATAATTAATACATATCTGCAGTTTTATTAGGTAACAGCTTTGTTCATGAGCACAAAAAATTATTGTAATTTTTCTTCAATTGAAAAGGTTGCAGGTATTATTTATTAGCAAAGCAAATTTACTGATGTTTTCCTAAACACGGAATTTTGATTGTTTTTATTTCATCAGTTTAGAAGATTCTAACATAATATACCAATAAGGAAATAAAATAACTAACCTTGCAACATATCTATATATTGAGAGAAGGAACTTCAGGAAGTAGAAATTTTGTATATAAGAGAGTATGGAACTTGGCCTGGCACGTGGGAGTGTCCAGTAATGGTAGTTATTTTTATTATTTATTATAACATGTCAGGTAGGGATAAAAAACAAAAAAAACCTGACAGTTGAACTCCATTCTAATGACTGAACCAAAACCCACCAGCTCAGTACAACTTCCAAACTAACAGAGAAAATGGCTGTCATTTTATAATTGGCCCTTTTCAGGTCATTTTCATGGCTAGGAATACTCACAGCAAGGCTAACAGTCTTCAGGGCGCAGTCATATAAAATAACATGTTACTTCTTATGTAAGCCTATTTTCTCCCTCTCCCTGCCACACACACACAAAAATTACCTAAATTTTAAATGCAGTGTAAAAGGGTTATTTCAGTAGGACATAAAACAACTTTTTATTCACATTAGTTTATATGATACTGTTTTTTATTACTTTAAGGTTTCACTTGTTTAAAATCTATTCAATTACAGTTGTAAGTAGTGTTGTAGTGTTATCTTCATGCTGTTTTTGTATTATACATGTCATTTTAGATAGAATTTTCAAAATGTCAGAAAAGAAAACCTTTATTTTGAAGTAGATACTAGAGAAAACAATATGTGAATATTTTATAAAGAAATTTCTTAGATTCTAAGTATACTTACCTAGTATCCCATTAAAAGTAAAATTATAGTTCACAAAAAAAAATTTAAATGAAAAGAAATAGAATTTAATAGCTGTATAATCGTAGTCAATTCACTCAACTTCTCTGTCAGTTTTGTCATCTATAAAATGAGGAAGCTAGATTACACCCCCTCTGATGTCACTGTCACTTTTAAAATACTGTAATTTGTTTGAATGACTCAGTGATGAGTGAATAACTAAAAGTATGTTTCAGCACAAATACCTTTCCTGGGTTTTCTTCTTAGACAAAGGGTGGTTATAGGAGTCCCCTTTTGTATATCTGAACATAATCTTGTAATCTTGGGATATTTAGTAACTTTCTCTTTCCTGCGATTCAGAGATGCATCCCGGGGGGTCTCTGAAGCTGATCTACTTTAAATCTGGATTCTGGTTCTGCAACATTAACAGGGGGGAAAAAATGACAAAGAGACAGTCAAATGAATGACGGTAAAACAAAGAACTGAGTGAATGAGGAAGAGGTAAAGGAAGGGAGGGAAAAAACAAAAAAAAAAGTAGAAAGAGAAAGGATGAGAGGAAAGGAAGAAGGGAGGGCGAACGGGAGGTATAATCCTTCCAATCTAAGAGTTCATAATCAAATGAGGGAAACACATGTACACCAGTAAGACATACAAAATATGCTGTGTTAAGTGATATAATAAAAGTAAATCCTGCAAAGGAAGAATTAGAAGAGAAATAGTCATTTGCTTGGAGAAATCTGGGAATACATTGTAGAATAATACATAAGGTAAAGGACATATCAGGCAGAAGGGAGAGTTTAAGCAAATTATAGAAAAACATGAGTACAAGCCATATTTAAGAACAGCTAGAGGTTCTTTAGAATGGAGATAGAGATCACATCAGGATACATATTAGGAGATAATGGAAAAGTTGGCAGGGACAAGACTGTGGGGGCTTTAAATCACTCAGTTAAAATCTAGAATGTTCTTTACACTCATGGGCTTTAAAGAAGTCACCAATATGAGAAAATTTGTGCTTTTAGAAGATACCTAGGATGCATTTGAAAAGGAGATTCAACACAAGGAGTCCCATTCCCAGGCTGTTGCTGTAGCCCAAGCAAGACGTAATTGTTATTCCTTGCTATGTTTTGACTGCTGGCTCCATACCAAACAGCTTTAATGCAAACCCAGCTGATGCTGCTCTATCTTTTCACTCGGAAATAAGAGTAGTGGGCCTTTTCTAGATTTTCGACAGAATGTGATTATTTCTATGCCTGAATTTGATGGGTCAGTGAAATACTCTTTTTCAGGCTTTTCAATACTATGTGGTTAGTCAGGATGTTAGCTTACCCTAATTCTCTTAGATACAAGTACTGTGAGTTACTATATTACTTTCTAAAGTGTTAATATTTGAAAGGGAGCCCCACTTCGTATCCCCAATCCATTCATTTTTGTTGTTTTTCTACCTGCTTCAATTTCCCAGGACCTTGATTCTACCATTATGTTCTCATGCTTTATTTCTGTTGGAAATAAATAGCTTGCCATTCAATATCTGTAATACCTCTACCCTCTATTCTAATAAAAGATATAGTCTTTAAAAAATAAAAAAATCATATGATAAGCCATAGAATATTTAAAGATATTTATTTACATAAGACCAAGTATCAAGAATTATTATGACTAAGGAGAATTTCTGTATGATATTTCTTAATTCTGGCTGGATTTTACAGGTTTCTAATTTGAGGGCTTAGAGAAGTATTTAGTCATAATAATGGTATAAGTGTTTTCACAGTGACTCATCTCTCTTCTGGAAAAATAATGGGCTTATTGATTTGGACTAGCTGCAGACAGCCTGTTCTAGTAAATGAAATGTTATGTATATCAGAATGAGATACTGTTATTACTACATTTTAGGGTCTGGGAAGAACAGACTTTGAGAACACTTCTTGACTGAAGCAGAAATTTCAGATGACATTTGTTTGAGATGCAACTGAATAATAAAGGGCATAAAATAAATAGAAGTCTCACTAAAGCTGTTAAAAAAGAAAAAAATTATTTACCTTATGTAGCATCTAAATCAATGAATGGCTAGGTGTTAATACATATTACCTGTAAATTTAAAAATAATAGCCTTAGATGTTGGGGAAAAGAAAATGATATAGAAAATATTTGAAAGTTGTTTGTAAACTTAAAAATTATTCAAATTTTAATAATTATTAGTGGTATGGTCATGGATTGTTACATTCCTTGGTTTAACTTTTCTTGATGCCAAGTATAAACATAATTATGAAAACTAACCCAGGTTAACAGCTTTAAGAATAATAAAAAAAAAAAACACATGAATTTCCAAGTCCGGTTTGGTATTATCCTACCCAAAATAAATAAATGAATCTGATGTCAAAGGACAATTACTTACTTATTTAATGACTTGGAATTAGGAACTTATAAAGTCTTCATAGCTTTTTTCAAGTCAAGATAAAATGTTTGAGATTATATCCAAATGATGATGAAAATTGAGTATTACAATCTAGAGCAGCGGTTCTCAACCTTCCTAATGCCGCGACCCCTTAATACAGTTCCTCATGTTGTGGTGACCCCAACCATAAAATTATTTTTGTTGCTACNTTTTTTTTTTTTAATGATTTCAGTGATTTTATGTGCCTTTACTGGCATGGTATCTTCTGAGGAATATTATTCTGTTTCACTTTCTTGACTCTAGTTCTACAAAGTTTGAGTCAAAAGATCTTGATAACTACATCTACATGTATGCTGGGGCAACCTACTTTAAACATGGGCTAATTTTATAATAGTTTCTAAATGAAATTGTAAAATTATATTTGAAACCAATTAAACTTACAACTTTTCTCCAGTAAATAAATGAAGTCTTGATGAATTGCAAGCCAAAGTTCTTATAATAATACTATTGTCAAATTTATATGCTGTCCAATATATTGTTCTTGACCTACGTGTACCAGAAAGTGTTTTCTATCTAGTGAAGATGTGTTGTCTATTGTTTAAGTTCATTTACATTTTATTCAGATTAAAATTATTTTACATATTTAATAATCATGCTTTTATTTGCCAAATTGTATACTTTAAATAAATTTAAAAATTATACATTTAAGTTGTACATACTACCTTGAATGAAAGTAATATATCAGCCTATCATTTCTTCTTTATACATCCTGTAAGTAAGGCTCAGAAATAAGAACTGAACATTAATTGTATGGGTTTTTTTTCTACTCGATAGGTGCTATGGATATAGAGGAGAGAAATCGCCAAATGAAAATTAACAAATACAAACAGGTAGCCGGATCAGATCCCAGACTGGAACAAGATTACCATTCGAAGGCAAGACATTTTTCTTTTTAAAAGTTGTAAGATAATTAGTTAATCATGAAACCATTAGATTCTCTTAAACAGGTGAATACAGATTAATCAGACATGCACATATAATGCAATGGCCCCATGATATTAAATGCTAAAATTTATAATGTATATGTATTCCAACTTTTAGGTAGAGAATTTGCCTTATTTTTAAAAATCATTATATAATAAAGGAGATAAATTATCTGAAAAACAAATCTTTTAGAATTTTTGTTTTATAAAACCTATAAAGGCCCTAAAACCCTCAAAAGCATTTAGAAAAAACTTCTGTTACCTTCTTATGGTTTTCTTTCACATAGAATTTTTTTAAAATTTTATAGTATTTTAATTAATCTGGTTTATTAATGAGTTATTGGAACAAAATACATACTCATGAGGTGTTGTAAGGAGTTCAAAAGGTTTTTTTCATGAGAATCTTTAATTAATTTGGGGGAATAAATTGAGATATGACGTTTACCAAAGTAGAAAAAAAAGCATTATTTCATTGCTCTTTCTCTTTATTGCCTTCATATTTTCAAAACATTTGTAAGCTCATGACATTATTCATTGCCAAAGACATGAAAAGACTTTACTGCAATGTACCTATTT